TGCATTATAACGAGGTCATACTGTTTTAATTACTGTTTCATTTATTTAATAGTCATTATTGTTACTGCATTTCTCCCTTGGAAGAAGAAATAATAACTTCCATCCTGGTTTATAAAATTAAAGTAGCTTCAGTTTGCTCAATTGTAAAATAGAAAAATATATCTTGATTTTCAAAACATATTGGGGTTTGGAGATTGGGAATATATTAGTCAAGAATACAAAATTTCAGTTAGAGGAATAAGTTTAAGAGCTCTATCGTACATCAGAGTGACTACAGTTACTGACAACATATTACATACTTGGAAATTGCTAAGAGTAGGTTTTAAGCATCCTTAATACAAAAATAAATGATAAATATGTGAGGTAATGCATATGTTAATTAGATTGATCTGGCCTTTCCACAGTATATACGTATATCAAAATATCATGTTGTATACCATAAATACAATTTTAATTTGTCAATAAAAAATAATTTATAAAATAAAGTTTTGTAAACATACAAAAATTATACTTTGTTATTATAACATATGTGAAACCCCATTTTTCACAAGGAATTATGAACTGGTCCAGCAATCTGAAGCAAAACAATATAAAATATAGTAGTTTAACTACAGTAGACAATTAAGCTGCCTAATTGCATAGCAAAGCTAAAACATAAACTCCTAAATCTCAACCCACATCAGGACTATTTATTTCCAGAAAGCAATCTCTTCACTTAAAATAGTTGATATGTAGATGAACTACAATTTTCCACAATTAAAGAGATGGCTGTATTTCTTTCTGATAACTTTTTAGAATCTTCTCTAAATTTTAAGAAAAAGAAAAAGAATTATATTGACTAAAAAGACCACAGATAAAATTTCCAATGGCTCCTACCTGTTTGCTTTCTCTTGGAAGTTCATGTGCCTTGAAAACTGTGAGGTCAAAAAATGAGTGTCAAAGCAACTGTTAACCTCTGCAGGGTGATGAAGGCTTGAAGTATAAGACTAAGGTGACTTTGCAGAGGTTGGTAACCAGTGTCCTTCTAGGATGTAATATAAGTGACACAAAGTGCTTCTCAGATGCTTAGATTATGAGAAAACAAAAATATGATTTACTTGAGGGATTGCAAATTCTAATTCTCTGGAAGTCACCATGTACCATCGTTATTGTATAACTCTTTAAATCTTCAGATCTTAGTATTATGCCCATTTTACATAATAGCTGAGAGTTTAAGGTGATTTAAGAACTTTGCCTAATGAAACGGAACCTAACCTCTTTTCCCAGTGAAAAAATATTATCTATCAAGATGAGCAAGTATTTTTCTTGGGGAAAAAACAGATGAAAATTATCTCTAGACAAACTAACTGACATATTAGTTTGTGTGTATGTGTGTGTGTCTTAGATATAAGATTTAAACCAATGTACACCTAGGAAACAGTTGACCTAGGCAATGTGGCCTGGCAGGAGCTTACAAGGACTAAAGGTTGAAACAATTTGACAAGCAATTGTGATTATGAGAACATGAGATGTAGAATTCAGATTATAAGCATGTGGAATGTTTCTGAGTACTATTCATTAAATAGGACACCATACCACCAAGTCAGTGTTTTGAGAGGAAAATTACCAGGAGGAAAAAAAGATTTTAAAACTATCAGCTGTGGAGTATAATTGAACAACCTCACATTGTTTAACTGGAAAGAAAAGATTCAAGTCTGTGGTACCCTCTTTGACTCAAATGAAGGGACTGTCTTGTCAAGGAAAGACTTGTTATGTACACTGTGACAACAAAAATTAAATTTCTGGAAGTGGCAGAGAGTCAGAAATGTCTTTCATATAGTGTGTTTAAATAGAGAAGTTCAAGACATTCAAGTTCAGATGAGAATAAAAAGCCTTGAGAGATAGCAAGTCCCCTACCATCTAAGATATAAAAGCAGAAAGAGTTACTGTGGAAAAAATGTCAAGCACTGGGATTGAATTAGACGAGTAGACTTAAAGATGTCTTTGCTGAGCATATTAAGAATCTTTGATACAGTTTCTTCTTATTCTCGGATTGAGAGATAAATTTGTGGTGACACAGCCTTTAAAAATTACCTAACTTCCAGGCGCAATGGCTCCCACGCCTGTAATCTCAGCACTTTGGGAGGCTGAGGCAGGTGGATCACGGTCAGGAAATTGAGACCACTCTGGCTAACATGGTGAAACTCTTTCTCTACTAAAAATAGAAAAAATTATATACATGATGGTGCATGCCTGTATTCCCATCTACTCAGGAGGTTCAGGCAGGGGAATCACTTGAACCCAGGAGGTGGAGGTTGCAGTGAGCTTATATTGCACCACTGCACTTCGACCTGGGTGACAGAGTTGACTTGGTCTCAAAAAAAATCTACTGGGGGGAAAAGGGGAGGGCCAGTGGGAGGGGGAGGTGGGGAGGGATAGCCTGGGGAGAAATGCCAAATGTGGGTGAAGGGGAGAAGAAAAGCAAAGCACACTGCCATGTGTGTACCTACGCAACTGTCTTGCATGCTCTGCTCATGTACCCCAAAACCTATAATCCAATAAAAAATTAAAAAAAAAAAAAAAAGAATATTGCCTTAAAAAAAAAAATCTAACCTTCTAGTTTTCTAATTGTAAAGGTTAAAAGAATTAGTCATTAGTCTATCAGTCTATGGGTATATTTATGTTAAGGTCAATGGCTTCTTTATTTTTCTTAATCACTATATTACTCTCAGAATGCAACCATTCTTAATAATTACTCAAAATAAATTTAACAAATGTTTTCTTCTCAAATGAAATAATACACTTTTAAGGTTCACACCTAACTTCAAGATTTTTCATGACTGGGTTTGAAGTAACTTGACAACAGATTCAACATTCAAAGTATGTTAACCAATGCCAAGAACTTTACAAGTGTTAACTTTCCTAACCTTTGGGACTTGAACAACCTTGCCCTCATTACGTAGGTCATGAAATAGACTTGGAGAAGCAAAATATTTTGCCAAATAGTAAAGTGACAGTGATGTCTCAATCTGAGTTCTGAGTGACTAGGACTTCCTAACTAGGGACAGAAGTAATAGGTCAACCAAACTGGAAGTATATGTGGCCTACCAGGTGGCAACTACCACACCATGGTAGGGAACATATAACTGCATTTTATTGTCCTGGCAAAAACTCAGCAATGAGGGAAAAAATCAAAAACAGTACTGCTGGGTGCCTTGGACAATAACCACATATGGAAGGATGATCTTAATCAAGCAATGGCTTGAAGGGAAGTACTGCATTATGGACACTCCCTTCAGGGAGGATTCTGAAGTAAATTTCTACCCATGTCTCCATCTGGCTCTCTGAAACCTAAGAGGGGATTTTTGGATGGTAGTTGAGTTGGAACAAGATGCTGTAAAACAGATCCTTCAGAATCTGCCCTGAGTGGGCCTATTACATTGCAGTCAAGCAGCCATTCAGCAGTGATTTTATTGACTTTATTCACAGTAAGAGTAAGGATTTTGTCCACAGCTATCCAGTAAAAACATTACCTACTCCTGGAGTCATGTGTTTGTACTTATCAGTTCATTAACTGATTAATATACTCCTTTACCAGAGGAGGTCATGTAGCAACATGCCATTATCTAGATGATTTTTTACTCTTATTACACCATCTTATTTGTTATTATTATTCTGTTGAAAATTGACTTCACTTCTCTCAGTACTCCTCCCACCCTTTCCCTTCTCAGCTGTTCTCCTCACAGTACTGCCTTACATTTTCTTTAATGTTCCTTATAATTTTGCAATTCAGTCACACCCTTCCTTTCCTTTCGAAAGTTGGAAGATCTGTATGCACAGATTCCATACTAGGAGGAATATTTTGCTTCTCTCAACAAGTTTGAACATGCTTAAGGATTAAGTAAAGAGAGACTATGATTTACTTTTTTAAAAAAAATCATATCAATTAGAAAATTGGCTATAGTTTTCTAGCCTTTGAGATTCCACAGTTCAGAGATAAATGTCATGTGACAAATGTAATCTGCTTCTTTTTACACAATTGTATATTCATACCTTCTGAGGTCAAATTTATAGTATCAGGGTCCAAGAGCAAACAATGTGTTGCATGGGGGCTACTTGTAGACCACGGTGGGCAGGAGAGTGCTTCTATCTCTAATTGACTCAGAGCTTGGCTTGAGAGAATACGATGGAAAAGGGAAAGATAGCATTCTTTGTGATCTAATGGACCTGGCCTTAAAATATCTCTTTTCCATTCTGCCTGGGTTATGTTATTAAATCTACCAAAGACCTTACTGTACTTGAATCAAATGCTTTACATGCATTATCTCATTTTGTTCTTAGAACATTAAGTTAGCTACTATTAATATCCATTTTATGGATGAGGAAACTGGTGTAAGCAGTTGAAAGGGCTTGCTGCCAAAGTCACATTGCTGGAGAGTGGTGGTCCTATAGTTTGAACCAGAATCTAGCCCACCAAGTTTGTTCTCTGCACTTATTATCATTTCCAGTTCATCAGTGAAAAGGAAATTAAACTTTCTTTTTAGATAATTATCAAATAAAATTAAGTATGCTAGTAATGTTTGTTCACTAAGAAAACACCAACTCCTGTTATTTCTCCAGTGGACACAGTTAACACAATCCATTATTATAATGCCTAAAACTCTTGGCATATCTGATTACTCACCTAGAGTTACTCCCTGATGGGGAAACACATTAACAGGCATTCTAAAATGTCATAGCAGGAATACAACATCTTGAGGGAAAAAGGGAAATTGTTGGAACCCCAGACTTGGAATCACTATAGTATCCCTGAAAGAATCGGAGATAAATGGGGCCTTGATTACCTAGATAGAAAAGTTGGAGTAGAGAGGAAGAAAAATAGCATAGTGTAACAAAGTGAGCTCTGGAGTTGCAGAGAAAGGCTTGGGTTTGAGCCCTAACTCTTCTCTGGTCTCCTTTAAGTCTCCGAGCTGTGTTCTTTCATTTTGCATATGAACTAATTATTACCATCTCTCTTTAAGGTGCCCTGGAGATCAAATGAACAAAGTACGTGACTGCTTTGAAAATTGCAAAGAAGTAAATAAGTTACAAATGGGAGACCCAGATCCAATCTGGCCCACAGATGTTTTAAATTTGGCTTGAAAGAGTGGTCCTTCCAAAAAGAAAAGTCTTGATAAATGATGAGCAATGAGAAGGCCATTTAGCAGGGCATGTCCTCCCCTGTTCAACACTGGCTTCACCAGTCCCAGACTCTCCATATATTTTTTTCTACCTTTCATGCCATTGCAGGCATTTGTTTCTACTCTACTAGATATGGAACATCCTTTAGGATTAAGATGGTATAAGATGAAATTCACTCGGGTCACCAGTATGACTCAATCTTCCATAAAATACTAACCAGCAGAAGGCCTACACAAGGAGTAAGGAGGTGGAGGCTTGAGAATGTGAAACTCCCAGCCACACTTCAGCTTAGATGACCAAGAGCAGCAGAGAAAAGAGTGTGGTTGCATGTGAACTTGTCTGGTTTTCCCAGAGATTGGGAAAGAAGAGGGGAGAGGATTCAGAAATCCCCCTTTTTAGGAATTCTCAAGAAATAGATGCCATGCCAGCTAAGATTAAGAATAAACCTAAATGTATATTGGAGTAATTATACAAGAGAGGAAAATTCATTTTGGCATCTGAAAGAACTGTTGGTTAAGCAGCAATAAGAATTTAAAAGCCAATCTCTGAAAGGCCTCAAATGAGCGCCTCTGGAGTGTTCTGGCAAGCTGATGAAGAGGACAAATGCAGGAATTGCAATTCACATAGCAACTGGCCAATCATCCTGAAAATAAATCTACTCTAGTCGTTATTTATCCAGCAGTTATCTTTGATTGCTAAATAAATCTGCGGCATGTAATGTGTGCTCCTCAATTGTTTTGGTGTCTGTAGTCAATCAGGCATTTAATAACTGTCAACAAAAATACTATATTTGAGGAAATATATTCAGTGGAAGATTAAATTAGGCACTGTGGCCAGGCCACCCACCATGCAGAAAAGCATTCTGTGCTACAAAATAACATTACTGATGTAAAAATGAAAGTCAAATGACAGACTTAGGCTTTTGACTCAAGAAACAAGGCTTGAGTTTTTAACCATTAACTAGGATATGTGTGGCTTGACCTAGTTGAAAATGCCCTCATTACCACTCCTGGCCCATTTCTTGTTCATCACTGCCTTTGAGACTTGTTTCTGCTCAGTAGTTTTCCCTGATTCTTTCCATCAAGTCATATCATTGTCTCTATTGGGCAAAACAGTGAAATAGAAAAGGCACCAAACATAGAGTCAGAACACAAGGGCCTGAATAATAACTTTCTTCCCCTGCACCTATGTAACAATGTGGTCTTTTCTGGACCTCAGATCCCCCATTAGTAAATGAGGCATTATATAAGTGTATGTGCTATCAGAACCATAGCATGCTACAAATATTGCCCTGTAAGAGTTTTTCTATTGTTTTCAGTATGTGTGGTTTATTAAAAACTTAGTTGACCTATGAATGAAAGACCATTCCAAGTAATAGAGTTAAGAAATAGAGAAAACTTGTTACATGTGTTCAATTCCATGTAACAGAGATTACAGACATGCAAAAGAAAATACAGAATCTAGAATTGAGGTACCTATGGGTTAAACAAAAACAGCTCTAGTTGGCAGGATTGAACTGTGTGCCATGGCAGAAGCTGTTTATAGTTGTGCCATCTTTGCACTACCAACCTGAAGCTGGTGGTCTTCAACCAAAAGTTATGAAATTTGCAAATCAGGGAGCTACGAGTGAATCCACAGTGGGATTTAATCATCTTATCTCTGCAGGCCCCCTGAAACTTTAAGACAATTGTTTGTCGACAAATTTGGCCCAGTGATAAAATAATATTAATAGCTACTAAAAAAAATTACTGTAAGTGTTGAGACAGCTATGTGCTTTCTAGTACTAAGTGGCTTTTCCATGTGATTCTATTCCATACAGTACTTGAAGGAACTACAGCATTCTCAGAAATACTGTTGTTATGCAATTGAAAAATCGGTAATATTTGTTTGGATTCTTTTTCTTAATTTTTTTTGAGACAAAGTCTCATTCTGTTGCCCAGGCTGAAGTGCAGTGGTGTGATCTTGGCTCACTGTAACCATCAGCTCCTGGGCTCAAGCAATCCTCCCACCTTAGCCTCATGAATAGCTGGGACTACAGGTGTACACCACCATGCCAAGCTAATTTTTTAGAGACAGGTTTTGCCATGCTGCCCAAGCTGGTCTCAAACTCCTGGGCTCAAACAATCTACTTGCCTTAGACTCCCAAAGTGCTGAGATGACAGATGTGAGCCACCATGTGATTTATTTTTTGGTTTATCTATGCTCTCTATTTTGACTTTAATAAAAAAAAAAACAGCTAGCATTAATGAGACTTATTTGATATGAAACACTGTATACTTTATAAGCATCTTATTTAATCTCCATAATCAACCCCTTTACAAATGAGAAAATGTAAACATAGAGAAGTGAAAAGCCCTATCCATAGTTCTGAGCTAATAATTGATAAAGTCAGTATATGAACCCTGTTCTGTATAATTTTCTCAGGTGAGTTTTTGTGACCTGAGTTGTCTTTGTCTCTAGCATTGTTCTTCCCTCTATAGAAATAGAACTTCTACCAAGAGAATAGATCAAGCAGAGTGCCTATGGCCCATCATTGGGCATCTTCACTTAGCATCTGAAGGCACCTGTGGATTATTTGCAACCTGTTTGGTCCTTCTCACACCATGAAAACTAGCTAGAACTTGAGTCCAGTGCTTAATTTGATTTTTACTAAATTTATAAGCCTTCTGCTCATATATTTTATTGGCCCCATTTCTAAGACTTCCAATGTTTAAACTCACTTATTGAAGGATTTTTCAAACACACTAAGACTTCATTATCAATAGGCTATATGTATTGATGATCTGAAAGGGAAGGACATGCCTGTCTTAAGAGTTTGAGTTAGACAGCTGTCTGCAAGCCTGCGTTACATAACTATGCAATGAAATATGGTCTGATGTGGATAAGTATTTTCCACATTGTATAGTTGAGAAAATTACTTTATGTGGGACTTTTTTTGAGAACAAATGTTTAGAACAGTTATCATTTAGCCTTAGTGGTGTAGCTATGCTAAAGAAAGCAAATTTTTGACTATACGCCCAACTATTTTGTACAGGCTGTTAAGACAACCAAGTGTTCTATACATTATCATCTTTCCACTGAGAAGTTACTTCTTAAATAAGAACAGTGAAAGCATGTATTCTGAGATTTTTCTTCAGACAGTATAAAATTTCAGTATTTTTATAAAAATTGGAACAATATTAATGAAGAAACTGTGTTGAATACCTGAACTCAATTGAAGGCTGGGGAATTGTTTCTCCATTAAAAATTACACCTGCTCACCACTTGACATTTTACCCCTACCTTCTTAATTTTTGTGGCCCTACAGCTTCTGTAATTGGCATCTCAGATTTCCTATTTAGTGACGAGTATGAGATCTCCAATATCCAAATTTGTGGCACATCTGAAATGCTCACTTTGGCTGTTTCAAAGAACCATCTGGATTGATTCAGCTGGGAAGCATCTGGGTAGATTGGTTATGGGCCAGGTTTTAAAAAATACACTAGATGGAGTTGCCTTTCAAGAGTCTGGTTATTTTTGCTTAACAGACTTGGACATGAAGTAATAAATTAGGAAATAGTCTCAAAGGGTGGAAACCTTTACTTCTGTGAGTAAAGTCCTCTATTCTAGTCCTGACTTACAATTCAGAAAATTCTCACCTGTAATAAAACTTTTATTGCTTAATTTTAGCAGAGAGAGGAAGTCTTCCAGGTAGTTCTACAAAGTTGGGAAATTATCACAATAAAACCATTATCACATACGAGTTTGTGTTCATTTGAGATTTCATGTAACTGAGAGCTGGCTAAAAAAATGTGATGATTTATGTTGATAAATCTCTCTCCAAAGTGTGTGACTTCACTCTCTAGGCATAGTAACCTTTACTGTTCTTTCTGTTCTTCAGTGGTTCTATTTCCATCTGTGGTAAATAGTTGGATTCCTTTGCTCTGGCCCATCTCAAGTATGAGTACTGACTCTCTAAAATGCAGAGACATAAGTGAAGGGGCATCCCATGCTATCTTATGTACATTCTACCTAGCATCCCAGGAGAACTGTTCAAGACATGTCTTCATTCGTTCAGCCTTGCTTAACCATATTTTTAAGAAACTGATTGACAAGGTTTGGTCTGAATAGAACTCTGGACCTCATCTGAGATGATTTAGAACTTCAGACAGGACATCTCCTCACAAGTCATCCATCCACAGAGTGTCCATGCACCTCGGAACCTTTCTCTAAGAAAGGTATCCATGCCAGACTTGCTTGGTCTTCCTCATTTCAGAAGATGTCACCACTTCCATCTGTTTCTCAAGCCACAAACCTAGGAGTCATTCTAATTTTTACCTCTCCTAGAATCCCTAATTCATCAGTAAGTCTTAACCCCTTACCTCCAAAATATATCCCCACTATACCTGCTTCTCACCAGCTTCAGTGCAATTAATCTGTGAAAATGATGATTATCTCACCCACAACAGCTTCCTATCTGTTCTTCAAGCTTTCACTCTTGCCTCCTTAACATTGACTATTTTTTTAAAAAAAAAACAAAATCATAATCTCATACTTAGGAATCACTACTAAGAGGACACTTTCATATACATCTTTGTAGATCTTTTTTTATTGTATATCTTTTATTATTTTATTCTGCTATATATATATTATTGTACTTTAGATTCTGGGGTACATGTGCAGATCATGCAGAATTGTTGCACAGGTACATACATAGCAATCTCTATCCATATATATACACATATGTGTTTTTTTAACCCACATGAGAGCATAGTGTTCCTACTGTTTTGTGAATTGTTTCTAGTATATAATCTTTCTCCATTTAATAATTTTTTAATTTCTTCAATTTTCCTCAAATGTCTTTTCAGCTATTTTCTCCCATTCCAGACTCACACATTGTACCTTGTTGTTGTCATTTAAACTTCTCCATTTAGCATAGTCTTTAAGTTTCCAACTTACTAAAAACACCAGGTTCATTTTCTTAACATCCTTTCTTCACAAAGGCTCACTTTTGTTTCTGCAATGTAAATTACTTCCATTCACCCTCCATCTTAAATATACTGATGGCATCTCTCTCCATGCAGAGTAAACTCTGACGTCTTACTATGGACTAGAAGGCCTTATGATCTGGCCTTTGCTCACCCTCACTTACTTTATCTTCTAACTCTTCCTTCCCTTGTTCACGAAGTTTCAGTCATAGAGGCCTCATCTCAGATGTGTAAAAACGTGAAGCTTTTCTTACATTATCCCCTTTGTACTTGTTTTTTTCTCCACCTGAAACCTTCTTCTCTCTAATCTTGCAGCCTTCAGGTCTCAGTTCAAACAGCACTGCTTCTGAAAGGCTTGTCTCATTTTTTGATAAGAAGTAGTCATCTTTCCCAAACATTGGTATCTCCCACCACCGTGCATTTATGTCCTTGTACTGTTCCCTTCTAGGCTTGCCCATGTGACTGAATTTGGCCAATGGCACATTTAAAAACATCATGATGAGGTCAGGCACTGGTTGCTTATGCCTTTAATTCCAGCACTTTGGGAGGGCGAGGTGGGCAATTCCCCTGCAGTCAGGAGTTTGAGACCAGCCTGGCCAACATGGTGAAACCCCATCTCTACTAAAAACTACAAAAATTAACCCCATGTGGTGATGTGCACCTGTAATTACAGCTACTCAGGAGGCTGAGGAAGAATAATCATTTGAACCCAGAAGAGGGAAATTGCAGTGAGCGGAGGTTGCACTACTGC